ATTTTGAAAGGTGGTGCAGGAGACTAAGTATAGAATCTGCAGACACAAGTACTTGAAGTAGAAAGTAATACTGGTAGTACCTCTAGTAACAGCCAATATTAACAAGTTGTAATACCAGAGTCAGTGTTACAGCCTTGTGATACTAAGACTTAAACAAGGATCTTTGCTAGAATGGTAGACTAGTAAGACAGCGGAAGTCTTAGAACTTGTAAGCGTTGACCAGAATTTACTCAAGAACAAGTTAATAACAGAAGTTGTACAAACTACTTTTATGTCTGTTAAAATTACCTATTTGGTAATGTACCTGTTCGAAACTATTTGCGCTATGCGATGCGCTCTAGCCGCTACTAAAAAGAGCGCGATTGTTCGCGTGACTGAAACGGTCTGCTGACGTAATCATCCAGACGAGCTATTTGCTGACCTCATTCTATGGATGCTAGCTACAGTGTAACTCAACAATATCTATCGGAACTACTTACAAAAATACTTAAGTACCATTTACTCAAGAACAAGTTAATAACTGAAGTTGTACAAACTACTTTTATATATCTGTTAGAAGTACCTATTCGGTAATGTACCTGTTCGAAACTATTTGCGTCATGCGATGCGCTCTAACCGCTACTAAAAAGAGCGCGACTGTTCGCGTGACTGAAACGGCCTGCTGACATAATCATCCAGACGAGCTATTTGCTGACGTCATTCTACGGATGCTAACTACAGTGTAACTCGACAATATCTATCGGAACTACTTACAGAAATGCTTAAGTACGATTTTATCACAACACTCCCCTTTTTGATAATGTCACTTTCTGGAAGTCCGATAGTGTCACTTTTTGATAATTCCGTAGAGTTCGTTGCAGTACTGGAACTTCTGACGAGTCAGCTTCTTGGTGAGAAAATCTGCAGCCATTTTATTGGTCGAGTAGTAGACCAATCGCATTCTCTCCTTCTCGTCTTCATCCTTGATTAAGAAGTACCGCAGCGAAATGTGTTTTGTCATGTTGGCGAAACCAGCTTGATGCTCAATTTTGATTGCACTTTGGTTGTCGCACTGCAGGGTGAACTGTGTATGTGTCGTTGATTCTGCTTCCTCCAGTAGCTCTTGCAGATAGAGATCTTCACGAGTAGCTGTGCAGGCAGCTATAAACTCGGCTTCAGCGGATGATAGAGCTACGAGCTCTTGCTTTGTAGAATTCCACGAGATAGTCCTAATAGGTTCGAGACGATAGATGAAGCCGGTGCGAGATCGACGATTAGAAGTATCTGCTGCATGATCAGCATCGACGTACCCGTTGAGATATAGAGTTTTCGTAGTAGTGACTTGGTAGGTAAGTCCGACTTCAGGTGTCGAAATGAAATACTGTAGAGCGCGAAGAAGATCGAGCCGATTCTCCCCCTCAGGTCGATGCAGAAATTGCGCGAGCTGGCTAGCAGCATAGGTGAGATCCGGATAACACGTTACAGCTGCGAATAGAAGACAACCCAGATGCTGTTGATAAAGCTGTAGTTCAGTGTTATCAAGAGGAGTAGTTTCAGGTTTGTAGTCTGTCGGTAGAGATCGGTAAGGAGTGGTTACAGTGGAAGCCGTGAGATCAAAACGTGCGGCTAGCGTAGCTGCGTACTTAGAAGCTGTAAGATGAATAGCAGTTGCTGTTCGGTGGATGTTAAGGCCCAGAAACTTTGTGACTGTAGGAGTGATAGTGATCTGTAGATTCTGTTGGAGTTTTTGTTCGAAGACAGTAGCGAGAGAATCGGTGGTGCTGATGTAAAGTAAGTCGTAGACGTAAGCGACGATTAGAATGTAGTCAATACCGTTGGTAAGTAGATACATTCCTTGGTCGTGTGGAAGTTGACGAAACCCGGCAGTTAATAGCTGATGATATAGATATTGCTGCCATAGTCGTGGAGCCTGTTTAATGTCGTAGAGAGACTTTCTGAGACGGCATACGCTGGGAGGATTAGTTTCGTAAGAATGCGGGTACTCAACCAGAATCAAGGCGTCGACAGGTGCATATAAAAATGCATTGGCGACGTCGATTTGTCGAAGTCTGACGTTCCGGTAGGCCGTAATACAGAGGAGGATTCGGACACTAGTGTGTCTGCCGACGGGAGCGAAATTTAATTCGTAGTCGAGTCCAAAAGTTTTCTCGAAGCCGCGGACGACCCATCGCGCCTTGAATTTTTCAAAGGAACCATCGGTGTTGACTTCACACGGAAAACCCTTTTTCTGGTAAGAGCCTTACTCCCCTTTGTTGCTTTCAATGGGATTAGATTCCATGTACCTCTCTTTTCCAGAGCTGCTTACTCGTGCGAAGATCCATAATTTTCCACGTGTAAAATTGCTTCTCGATGCCAAGATGTATTCCCCACTTAGCCCGTTCTGAAAATTTCCCAAGTGCTGCAGTCGGAGGTCGATATTGAACGATCCACCCAAAAACTCTTAAAATTCTGGTGTTGCCGACTGTTTTTGTCCACTGCAGGTGTGGCGAGGAAAATTGTGGAAGTGAAGTTATCGACAGCAAGTTGTGCAGAAGAACTGCATGGTCCAAAGCATAAGTCCAAAAATGTGGTGGCAATGCTGCCTGAGTCAGCAAGACTCGCATTTTTTCTTGCAACGTCCTGTTCATCCGTTCCGCTACCCCCATCTATTGATGTTGATGTGGTAGAGACCCTCTGCGCTTGATGCCTAGGGTTTGAAGATAGTCAGTGAAGTTGGTGTTCGTGTACTCCCCTGCTCCGTCACTCTAAAATTCTCGGAGCTTCTCCCCCGACTCTCTTTCAGCCACCGCGAGCCACGCGACGAAAATATAGTGAGCCATATGACGAGCCGGAATATTTGCCGTCCGAACATATCGAGTAGAAGCCTGGATAAAAGAGATCATATAGAGCTCCCCCTTAGGTCTTGCTTCGGGTAAGTTGAGGATGTCGCTGTAAACTTTCTATATAAGTGTGTATCGATTTGATCCTGGAAAGTGACTTGGAAAGGGTTCGTAAGGAAGATTAGCAGTTGAGCACGTGGTGCAGACTGCTGGTCGTGAAGACGGTTTCATCTCAGTTCCATCCAGTAAGAGTAAACTGTTCTTGTCAAGAACTGAAGCTCGTATAGTATGATTAAGAATTCCCGGGGAAGGATGACCTAACCTTTGATGCCAACTATCCTCTGTTGCTTTGTGTCCTATTGATCGCAGATAAAAATCGGCGTTAGTATAAAATGAAGAAATGATAAAAGGAGAAAACACTCGTGATTCGTCGAGTTGTCCAGGAACGAAGCGGGTAAGAGGTAACTTAGTGGTTGTAATTTCCACGTCGAGAAATTCAAGCTGAAAAACTTATTCTCCTTCTTCGATTTTTGTTTCTGTTGAATCCGCTGCATGTTGATCGACGAGAACCCCTGTGTCTGCTTCACTGCTACTTTGCTACTCTGCTTCCTCTGCTTCACTGCTACTGCTGGGTCCCCAAGGTACTACACGTTTGTTTTCAAGTTGTTGTAAAGTGTCATAAGAGTTCCGCCACGCTGATGTATCGTCTTCGGCTGTGTTTGTTGGCCAGGAATCAAGAGCCGTTATAACTGGTGCGGCTGTACAAGATCCTATGGGAACTGCAGTTGCACGGAAGTCTATATCAACCTTCTGAAAATCAGTTTCTTCGGGATTTTGCCAAGGTCCAAGAGATAACACTCTGTCAAAATCTCCATAAGTGCCTTGCGACTTGAATTGAAGAACGGAGACCCCATACTGAGTGGCGGCTCTCCCGATGTAAGTATTAGTATCCTTGTGATAAATTTCCTGGTCCATTGTCTCACAATTGCCTAGTGTCCTGATCTTATGTCGCAGGAGTTGAGCCGTTGAAAGAAGATTAAAGCCAAGTCCAACGGTGATAAGGACATTCGTAACGTGTAAGGAAAAACCGGTGTTAAAAGAATCCATCATGACACTGCCGATTGATCTTGCCATGATTGTTTGTCCATTTGCAACTGTGATAGGTACTGGACATCAAAGAGGACACTGATGAGTAATGAAGAGCGTCTCGGCAGAGCACATGTGTTGTCCACAACAACTGTCAAAATACCAAGTGTTTGGTCCTGCGATAACCCGAGCGAGATTAGCATATACTTGAGGTAAGATCATGTTCTCAAGTTGGTCAATGGAACTTTCTTCCTCCTCATCTTCAAAATCTGAATCTGTTGCATGAACTATTGTAACACAGCTAAAACCCGTTTTCCTGATGTTGCAGGAGTTGTTGTTGGTGGATTTTGCTTCATGGGTTGCTTGAACTGCTGCGACTGCTGTTGCTCTCGTCTTTTCTTATCAGCTTGAAGCTTGTTGCAATATTTGATGTTGTGTCCATCCTTTTTGCAGTAGTGACTGAAGAACTCGTTGACACGTTTTGTAGGCGTTGAATAGAAACTGATATTAACTGCTCCCCTTTTGTTACGTGTTGTTTGCAGGTCAAGATCCTGCTGTTCTGCTTGAAGAATCGAGCAAATTTCTGCTTCCAAAAGATTTGGTTAAATGCGAAGAAGAGATCGACACTACCGCCATTCTGCTCCAAGGCTGGCAAGAAGAACGGTTACAAACATGTCCTTTGGGAAGTATCCGCCGCATTTTTCCAATTGGTCACGAAGTGTTCGAGCCCTGTTGATATAAACCAAAACGTTCTCGTTGCTCTGCATTTGTACAGTTGTCAGCTGTGAGAGAATTTTACTCACGGAAATTGTGTCCAGTGCCATATACAGCCCCTTCAAATGCTTCCAAGCAGATTCAGCTGGAGTCAAGCTGGTGTGAAGTAAGAGTATACCAAGCTGCTCTTTCAGCGACAGATTGCGGATAAGAACGGTGTAAGCGCTGAGTGAAGCATGAAGAAAACTTTGATGTTCCATCTGTGTTCCCGTAACAGGATACGAGTAATCGCTACAGAAGAACGGCCATAATCCAGCGGATTTCGTGAGGAGCTTGAACTCGAAACTCCAAGAATAGAAGTCAGCGCCATTAAAAGGTACAGTTGTCTTGATCTGTGTATTGCCTAAAAGGTTTGGGGCCTGAAAAATAGGTCCAGTAAAAGAAATCTGTTGCTGCGGAAACTGCTGTTGCTGTTGCTGTTGTTGTTGTTGTTGTTGTTGTTGTTGTTGTTGTTGTTGTTGTTGTTGTTGTTGTTGTTGTTGTTGTTGTTGTTGTTGTTGTTGTTGTTGTTGTTGTTGTTGTTGTTGTTGTTGTTGTTGTTGTTGTTGTTGTTGTTGTTGTTGTTGTTGTTGTTGTTATTGTTGATTTTGGTGCTGTTGCTGAAGCTGTTGTTGCGCTTGTTGCTGCTATTACAAAAATTGGAATTGTTGATGTTGAGCAGGTGAAAATGCGAACGAGGAACTGGAGCTTGGAGCGGCTGCAGCTCTTGCATAGCTGGAGCCATCGATACTCATACCACTAAAGGCCGTTGATATTGATGCTGCTGCTTGTTGCTGTGATGTTGCAGGTACAGAGGACGAAGTCCCCGGTGGATGCACAGTCAGCAAAACTTGCTGTTGTTGAGGCATCCCGATTGAAGAATAAGCAGGTGGAAAATTTCCAGCTGCAGAGTTACTTGCTTGGCCTGTGAAAACTGTAGGATTTGTAATACCTATAGGTCCAGTTGTTGAAGAACCAGATGATGGAGCTGACGATGGTCCAGTCATGATTGACGATAGTCTTAATCCCAGACAGCTCTCATACCATGAAATAATTTGAAAGGTGGTGCAGGAGACTAAGTATAGAATCTGCAGACACAAGTACTAAAAGTAGAAAGTAATACTGGTAGTACCTCCAGTAACAGCCAGTATTAACAAGTTGTAATCAGGGTCTCAGATATTAGACGAAATCGGTCCGATGGTATGAAAATCAGACCTGTTTTTTTCATTTCATATGATTTTTTTACGAGCTGAATTAATTCGTCTGGTCGTCCAGATAAGCCATAAGATTACGTCTGACAGTTCAGACCAGGTGTAGACTTTCGTCTGAGAAATCAGATAACGCGTATTTTTTCGTCTGAGACTCTGAGACATTCCTCCTCGTCCCCCCATCCATCCCCCCTCCCCCCCCACAACCGAGATTTTTTTGGCTAAGTCCTCGACTGCCAGAGACATTCCCCCCACACCCCTATAACACCTACCGTAATCACCCGGATAGACGCCCCTAGGGGCGTTTACTAGACTGGTTTGAAAACGTGGGGGGGGCGTTTAATTGAATAAAAAATATAAGCCCATGGGCGTTTTAAAGGGATTATATGGAGAATAAAAGTTTGACATCGACATGTACCTGCTGGTTTGTCGTGTGCAATGGGAGTAATTTTAGGCGAGGAGGATTAAAAGTCAATCGCGTTGGAAGTCCAGTCAGCGCGGTGCCAGGCTGGAAACTTCCTTTTCTGATAAGAATCGTGCTGGCGCGAGGTGTCAGGGAGCGTGAGTTCCGCCTCTGACGGGCACGAAGCGAGAAGCCTCGGTATTACCTGTACCCGTTCGGTCTATTTGTACAGTGTTTCAACTGAATTTCTGAGGGGGCTTATAGGGTACATGTTCTGAGAAAATATGGAGGGCCTATAATCGAATAATGCCTATAAGTCCCAATGCACGAGTTAGAGCCCATGGGACTAATCCTACGGAGGGGCGTCTATTCGGGTGATTACGGTAGTTTTTCCGGCTAAGTGGCCTACTCAAGAGATATTCCTCCACACACCCCTCACAACAACATTTTTTCGGTTAAGTCTCCCATACCAGATTCATTCATCAACACATCACACCAACCCAAAAAAATCGGCGAAGTCCTTAACTGCAAGATACATTCCCCCACACCCCTCGCAGCCCGGTTCTTCCGGCTAAGTCCTTGCTACGCTGCTTCCATACTGCTTTTTCTGCTTCATTGCTTGACTGGACTGGGGGCGGGGTGGAAGGAACCCTGAAGTTGTTGGGCAAAGAGAGGGGGCTGTTAAAATTATATAAGTTATAATTTTATATAGGCTTGGTAGGTTGTTACTGAACCTTTCTGTAGAGGGTACAAACCCCTCCTTGTATGCCTCTCTTCCTACTCCAAACATCTTTTCTCTCGACACTTCTCCTACCCTCCTAGCTAAACCCCGCCGCCACATTTATGGCGGCCTTCACTACCTCCTAGCCTAGTTCTATTAGCTTCTTAACAGGGGCTGCCTGCACGTGACACGTTACGCAACCTGCGAGTGTTCCTGCCAGAATCCGAAGGCAAGTGTTTTACAGTCCCGGAACTCAGCAAGTTCCGGAACTAGGTCTGCTTACACATTTCGCAGCACATTTTGACAGGGCTTCGCGAGCTCCTCCCAAGGCAAAATCTTCGCCAGTTCCTGAACTAGTTCCGGAACTTCCAGAAGCGGAACCGTAAGGCACACGCCTTTAGAGCGTTTTCCTACGGCCTCTGCACAGGCCTGCCTGTTCCCAGATTCGCACGCTTCAGTGCCGTACAATGACTCTTGCGCTCTTCTGCGTAGTTCAGACTGACGAGGTTCAGGGCATGTTTTAAACTTCTTCGCAGGCGCACCTTTTCCAGAGATGCGTGGGTCTCTACAGTTCGATTATGACCCAAGCAAAATCAAAGCGGTTGAGAATGTGATACTGAAATGAAGTGACCTTGACAAGAAAACCTTTGAGCACGCTCTCATGCGAGGACCGAGTCTGGGAATTGGGTAGCCTGGGAAGAGGTTCGTAAGAAAACGCTCTTAGCAGGAAACGAACAAATCAAGGTCGAAATTACGAGGGACGAATATTCTTGCGCAAAAATTCCCTCTGAATTTTAAGACCAGTGTAAAAGTTTCGTCTGAAATCTCAGACACTTTGACAATTTTGGTCTGGATGGTCAGACCAAACTTTGAAACCCGTCTGATTCTCTGACGGCCCTAAATCCTAGCTGAAACCCTGGTTGTAATTATCAGCATAATTGAATGAAAGTAAAGTGAGAGTACACACAAATATATCTAAGTTTTGTAACCTCTAAGAGGTGACTCTATACAGTCTATACAAACATGACAAATACACATGTTTGACACACCCCCTAGACTGCATAGGGGAATACCCTAAACAAGCAGCTCAGGGCGGCACTACTAGTCCAACCTCTAAGGCAAGGGTCTGAGCGACCGGTCAGAAGGAGTACAGACAAGGCAAGCACAAGAGCAGGGCGGCACTACTAGTCCAGCCACTGGGAGAGGACACAAGTCCAGTCTGAGTATACATATAAAGGACAGTACAAAGTCAAGGTCCTAGCAAGTGAGAGGCTACAGGAACTAGACCAAGCTGTACACAGTGCCGCTGATGATCTTTAGGCGCAAGCGCCTTCGTAAAGATATCAGCCGTGTTGGCACCTGAGGCCAAGTGTACTACGCGAGCCTGACGTCGCTGCTGTAGCTCACGCAGGAGGAAGTACCGCAGCTGAATGTGCTTCGCTCTGCCCTCGAGTCGAGGCTCCTGACACAGGAGGATCATGGCCCTGTTGTCAGCGAACAGGACCGGGGCAGAGCTAGGCCGCTCACCTAAGTCAGTGAGCAAGAAGGTCAGCCAGCGGAGCTCCTGTGCCGCCATGGCACCGGCGTAGATCTCAGCCTCACAGCTGGACTGTGCAACAGACGAGGAGCGAGTAGCTCTCCACGAGACGGCACCTGAGCCAAGGCTGAAGCAGTAGCCCTGGGTAGACCGGAGTGTCTCAGCGTCGTCTGCCCACGAAGCGTCTGTGTGCCCAGTAAAGACCGCTGGCCTGCGTCCTCCTAGCACTAACCCCATG